TGTCTCATAAACATGCAAGGTTTCAGGTACGTCTTGCTACTTCTACTTACACTTAGGTCACACTACACATACATGTACAAGCATATATGTATATACACACCCCTCTGGGTTTTCTTCCATTTTTATTACTAGTTCTTGTTTTTGTTTATTTCCTCTTACCTCCATGGGGAAGTGGAACAGAATTCTTCCTCCGTAAGCCATGCGTGTTGTAAGAGGCGACTAAAATGCAGGGAGCAAGGGGCTAGTAACTTCTTCTCCTGTATATATTACTAAATGTAAAAGGAGAAACTTTCGTTTTTCCTTTTGGGCCACCCCACCTTGGTGGGATACGGCCCGTGTGATGAAAGAAGAAGAAGTTTAATGAGTCCTAGGTAGTAGGTTGGTAAACAGCAACCGCCCAGGGAGGTACTACCGTCCTGCCAAGTGAGTGTACAATGAAAGCCTGTAATTGTTTTACATGATGGTAGGATTGCTGGTGTCTTTTGTCTTTCTTATAAACATCCAAGATTTCAGGTAAGTCTTGCTACTTCTACTTGCACTTGGGTCACACTACACATACATGTAGAAGCACACATATATATACACCCCTCTGGGTTTTCTTCTATTTTCTTTCTAGTTCTTATTCTTGTTTATTTCCTCTTATCTCCATATGGAAGTGGAACAGAATTCTTCCTCCGTAAGCCATGTGTGCTGTAAGAGGCAACTAAAATGCCGGGAGCAAGGGGCTAGTAATCTCTTCTCCTGTATATATCTATTACTAAATATAAAAGGAGAAACTTTCGTTTTTCCTTTTGGGCTACCCCGCCTCGGTGGGATACGGCCGGTGTGTTGAAAGAAAGAAGAAAGAAGTTTACTGAGTCCTAGGTAGTAGGTTGGTAAACAGCAACCACCGAGGGAGGCACTACTGTCCTGCCAAGTGAGTGTACAACGAAAGCCTGTAATTGTTTTACATGATGGTAGGATTGCTGGTGTCTTTTGTCTTTCTTATAAACATGCTAGATTTCAGGTATGTCTTGCTACTTCTACTTGCACTTAGGTCACACTACACATACATGTACAAGCATATATATACACACGGGGGGCCCCTCTGGGTTTTCTCCTATTTTCTTTCTAGTTCTTGTTCTTGTTTATTTCCTCTTACCTCCATGGGGAAGTGGAACAGAATTCTTCCTCCGTAAGCCATGCGTGTTGTAAGAGGTGAGTAAAATGCCGGGAGCAAGGGGCTAGTAACCCCTTCTCCAGTATATATTACTAAATGTAAAAGGAGAAACTTTCGTTTTTCCTTTTGGGCCACCCCGCCTCGGTGGGATATGGCCAGTGTGTTGAAAGAAAGAAGTTTACTGAGTATACCAGGAAAAGTGTACGGTAGGGTTATTACTGAAAGAATTACAGGTAAGACAGAGAGTAGGATTGCGGATGAGCAAGGAAGCTTAAGAGTGGGTAGGGGATGTGTAGATCAGGTGTTTACATTGAAGCTATATGTGAACAATATTTAGATAAAGGTAGGGAAGTTTTCATTGCATTTATGAATTTAGAAAAGACATATGATAGAGTGGATAGGGGAGCAATGTGGCAGATGTTGCAAGTATATAAATTAGGTGGTAAGTTACTAAATGCTGTAAAGAGTTTTTATGAGGATAGTGAGGCTCAGGTTAGGGTGTGTAGAAGAGAGGGAGATTACTTCCCAGTAAAAGTAGTCTTAGACAGGAATGTGTAATGTCACCATGGTTGTTTAATATATTTATAGATGGGGTTGTAAAAGAAGTAAATGCTAGGGTGTTCAGGAGACGGGTGGGATTAAATTATGGGGAATCAAATTCAAAATGGGAGTTGACACAGTTACTTTTTGCTGATGATACTGTGCTTATGGAAGATTCTAAAGAAAAGTTGCAAAGGTTAGTGGATGAGTTTGGGAGGGTGTGTAAAGGTAGAAAGTTGAAAGTGATCATAGATAAGAGTAAGGTGATGAGGGTATCAAATGATTTAGATAAAGAAAAATTGGATATCAAATTGGGGAGGAGGAGTATGGAAGAAGTGAATGTTTTCAGATACTTGGGAGTTGACGTGTCGGCAGATGGATTTATGAAGGATGAGTTTAATCATAGAATTGGTGAGGGGAAAAAGGCGAGTGGTGAGTTGAGGTATACGTGGAGTCAAAAAACGTTATCTATGGAGGCAAAGAAGGGAATGTATGAAAGTATAGTAGTACCAACACTCTTATATGGGTGTGAAGCTTGGGTTGTGAATGCAGCAGCGAGGAGGCGGTTGGAGGCAGTGGAGATGTCTTGTCTAAGGGCAATGTGTGGTGTAAATATTATGCAGAAAATTCGGAGTGTGGAAATTAGGAGAAGGTGTGGAGTTAATAAAAGTATTAGTCAGAGGGCTGAAGAGAGGTTGTTGAGGTGGTTTGGTCATTTAGAGAGAATGGATCAAAGTAGAATGACATGGAGAGCATTTAAATCTGTAGGAGAAGGAAGGCGGGGTAGGGGTCATCCTCGAAAAGGTTGGAAGGAAGGTGTAAGGGAGGTTTTGTGGGCAAGGGGCTTGGACTTCCAGCAGGCGTGCATGAGCGTGTTCGATAGGAGTGAATGGAGACGAATGGTATTTGGGACCTGACGATCTGTTGGAGTGTGAGCAGGGTAATATTTAGTGAAGGGATTCAGGGAAACGGGCTATTTTTATATAGCCGGACTTGAGTCCTGGAAATGGGAAGTACAATGCCTGCTCTCTAAAGGAGAGGTTCGGGATATCAGCAGTTTGGAGGGATATGTTGTGTATCTTTATACGTATATGCTTCTAAACTGTTGTGTTCTGAGCACCTCTGCAAAAACAGTGATTATGTGTGAGTGAGGTGAAAGTGTTGAATGATGATGGAAGTATTTTCTTTTTGGGGATTTTCTTTCTTTTTGGGTCACCCTGCCTCGGTGGGAGACGGCCGACTTGTTGAAAAAAAAAAAAATTGAATAGGTGAGTTTTTGTCCTTTCTTATAATAATAATTAATATTAACCAATTAATATTCCACATTTAATGTGAAGGCACAAGCTGGCACTAGAGTGGTTGCTTTTTCAATGTAATTTAAATGCCCCTAGACAGCAGGCTGAGCAGCCTTTAGGAGCCAGAACTTTTTATTTAAGTTACGCAAGCCAAAAAGCCGTAACAAGGGCCTCTGAAGGTTAAGCTTCATTAGTTTCATAGTAGATCCACCCCTGTATAGGAATAACTAAAATATAATGAACACATGTCAATGCTCAATATTTTGATCCCCTTCTGGGATCCTCTTCAGCTGAAGAGGATCCCTGAAGGGGGTTGAATTATACAGATCCACTATTCTTACGAGTTTCTGTCTCCATGTGGGTAATTATGATCAATGTTATTTTTAAAATTATCTATTGCTCCATTAGCAAAACTTCTTTCCCAAAATGTTTAGCATTAGTTAACAATAATTTAACCTAACAATCTGGACCTAAATACTGCATCTAAATGGAAATCATAAGAAAAAATTATGTAAAAATTTAATGAATTTATATTGATGTCATAAGTATGAATGTGACTCAGGTCTGGTGATAAAGCTAGTACTGTACATTGCATTATTAGTTATACTTACATTGGAATCATAGTTACGCACATACAAATTTGCAAATCAGTAACCTTCTCTAACACCACTGGTCACACTGGTAACTCTCATACTAACATTCGGAACCTATAAATTTATGTGAATAATACACACAGTCCTAGGTAGTAGGTTGGTAGACAGCAACCGCCCAGGGAGGTACTACCGTCCTGCCAAGTGAGTGTAAAACAAAAGCCTGTAATTGTTTTACATGATGGTAGGATTACTGGTGTCCTTTTTTCTGTCTCATGAACATTCAAGACTTCAGGTATGTCTTGCTACTTCTACTTACACTTAGGTCACACTACACATACATGTACAAGCACATATATACACACCCCTCTGGGTTTTCTTCTATTTTCTTTCTAGTTCTTATTCTTGTTTATTTCCTCTTATCTCCATGGGGAAGTGGAACAGAATTCTTCCTCCGTAAGCCATGCGTGTTGTAAGAGGCGACTGAAATGCTGGGAGCAAGGGGCTAGTAACCTCTTCTCCTGTATATATTACTAAATGTAAAAGGAGAAACTTTTGTCTTTCGTTTTGGGCCACCCCGCCTTGGTGGGATACGGCCGGTGTGTTGAAAGAAGAAGAATACACACAGTCTTGATTAAAGATAGTGTGTCTTACTCTCATGGCTCTGGGACTGATTGCCTCAAAACTGTTACTGATCACCTTATTTTTACGTCTCCATTACTTCCGGTGTCTACATTATGTGTCACTTCTATATTCAACAAAAGAAGTCTGCTGAGTTGGAAATACATTTCAACAATAAAGATACCCAATTATTACACAGGTGTTGGTAATGTATGAGGTGCTATAAAAAACTTCCTGGACTGCTTTGACAAACCAGACTAAGTAATACAGTGGACCCCTGCTTAACGATCACCTCCCAATGCGACCAATTATGTAAGTGTATTTATTTAAGTGCGTTTGTACGTGTATGTTTGGGGGTCTGAAATGGACTAACCTACTTCACAATATTCCTTATGGGAACAAATTCGGTCAGTACTGGCACCTGAACATACTTCTGGAATGAAAAAATATCGTTAACCGGGGGGTCCACTGTACTTATAGAAACATGGCCTCTGAAACACAAAATATGCCCAAATTTGAAAAAAAAAAAAAAAAATAAAAATCCATTCAGTATAAAAAAAAACCGTCATTACCAAAGTCTGAAATTCAGAGGAAACTTTTTAGAAGTAACCAGCAAGTTTGGGGTTCCAACTGCAAGTATAGTAGTGTAAAATTACTCTGAATTAACCAACAAAATATTTATGAATACAAAAGTCATAAAGAAAAAATTACTGCATATTCATAGAAGCATTCAACAGATCTGAAATTAACCCAAATTAATCCAAATGTCAGTGACAGTGATAAATCAACTCTGACCTTTGGTGAAACAAAGAAGTACTGACTGGACCCTTCTGCTGCTACCGTTTCCATCAGCATATTCAACATCTGTCGCTCATTAATGGGGTCCATACCCTGAAAAATGTAAATGCATTATTAATAACATATTGATGTCACCGTGGTTGTTTAATATATTTATAGATGGGGTTGTAAGAGAAGTAAATGCGAGGGTGTTGGCAAGAGGCGTGGAGTTAAAAAATAAAGAATCACACATAAAGTGGGAGTTGTCACAGTTGCTCTTTGCTGATGACACTGTGCTCTCGGGAGATTCTGAAGAGAAGTTGCAGAGATTGGTGGATGAATTTGGTAGGGTGTGCAAAAGAAGAAAATTAAAAGTGAATACAGGAAAGAGTAAGGTTATGAGGATAACAAAAAGATTAGGTGATGAAAGATTGGACATCAGATTGGAGGGAGAGAGTATGGAGGAGGTGAATGTATTCAGATATTTGGGAGTGGACGTGTCAGCGGATGGGTCTATGAAAGATGAGGTGAATCATAGAATTGATGAGGGGAAAGGGTGAGTGGTGCACTTAGGAGTCTGTGGAGACAAAGAACTTTGTCCTTGGAGGCAAAGAGGGGAATGTATGAGAGTATAGTTTTACCAACGCTCTTATATGGGTGTGAAGCATGGATGATGAATGTTGCAGCGAGGAGAAGGCTGGAGGCAGTGGAGATGTCATGTCTGAGGGCAATGTGTGGCGTGAATATAATGCAGAGAATTCGTAGTTTGGAAGTTAGGAGGAGGTGCGGGATTACCAAAACTGTTGTCCAGAGGGCTGAGGAAGGGTTGTTGAGGTGGTTCGGACATGTAGAGAGAATGGAGCAAAACAGAGTGACTTCAAGAGTGTATCAGTCTGTAGTGGAAGGAAGGCGGGGTAGGGGTCAGCCTAGGAAAGGTTGGAGGGAGGGGGTAAAGGAGGTTTTGTGTGCGAGGGGCTTGGACTTCCAGCAGACATGCGTGAGCGTGTTTGACAGGAGTGAATGGAGACAAACGGTTTTTAATACTTGACGTGCTGTTGGAGTGTGAGCAAAGTAACATTTATGAAGGGGTTCAGGGAAACCGGCAGGCCGGACTTGAGTCCTGGAGATGGGAAGTACAGTGCCTGCACTCTGAAGGAGGGGTGTTAATGTTGCAGTTTAAAAACTGTAGTGTAAAGCACCCTTCTGGCAGGACAGTGATGGAGTGAATGGTGGTGGGGTTTTTTCTTTTTCGGGCCACCCTGCCTTGGTGGGAATCGGCCAGTGTGATAATAAAAAAAAAAATAATATATTGAAACCAATAAGAGCAGTTTGCCAGACTATACTGATGGGTCAACTTCTGGATGTGCAGGATTTTACAGGACCAACTAATATGTCATATCATTATTTAGTTGTAGTTACAGTAGATAAAGTAGATAAAGTACAGGGAGAAAGTTGCCACTGGGTAAGAGACAAGTGAAAGTGAATGAAGTAAAAGTGAATGAAGAAGAGTGAAAGTGAATGAAGAAAAGTGAAAGTGAATGAAGAAAAGTGAAAATTAATGAAGAGTGAAAGTGAATGAAGAGGAGGGAAAGTGAATGAAGAAGAGTGAAAGTGAATGAAGAAGAGTGAAAGTGAATGAAGAGTTAAAGTGAATGAAGAAGAGTGAAAGTGAATGAAGAAGAGTGAAAGTGAATGAAGAAAGGTGGGCTAAGTAACAATAAAATGCTGTTTGTTGCATCTATGGATTTTGAGAAGACGTATGATGAGGTGGATAGTGAAGCCATGTGGCAGATGTTGACAATATTTGGAATGGACTAAGAAATAGGTAACAAAAAGCAGTGAAATTTTTTATGCAGTAGGTAAGACTCACGTTAGGATATGTAGGAGAGAGTGAGATTATTTTTCCAGTAAAAATAAGCCTTAGACAGGGATGTGTTATGTCACCATGGCTGTTTAACATATTTATTGACGGAGTTGTTAAATAAGTAGATGTCTGAGTGTTGGGGAGAAATGTAGGATTAAGGAATCTAATACAAAGTGAGTATTGTTAAAAGTTGCTTTCTGCCAATGACACAGTGCCTCTGAGAGATTCTGAATAGAAGTTGCAAAGGTTGGTAGACAAATTTGGGAGGGTGTGTAAAAGAAGGAAATTAAGAGTTAACAGCCAGCCAGTGTGAATACGACATGGCATTAGTGAATCCCTGGAATTTGCCACACTGTTTGCTCTACCTGGCGCTCAACTGAACTGGTGCTCCCACTAGGTACTAAGTGGTCCCAGATTTTTTTTTACTACTACACACACATTGAGTGTTAAGACCCATTATCTATAATCTTATCTTAATGATAGACACCAGTATGTATATGCAAATGGAGTCAACTCCACTATCCAGCCTGTAGCTGTCTGAGTGCCCCAGACCCACTCCTCTTTCTCATCTACATCAATGACCTTCCCAATGCATCTCAACTCTTTAAACCAATTCTATATGCAGACGACACTACTTATGTCTACCAAACCCAGCTATACTTAGAGACACTGTTAACAACACACTGCTACAAATATATACTTCAATGATGACCAACAAACTCACTATCAACACAGATAAAACATACTTCATGCTGTTTGGAAACAGAGCCTTAAATATCGATAACTGGTTCTTCTATTACAAGACAGGCTAAGAGTAAATTTCTAGGTCTTCTCAAATTTCTCTTAAATTTCATTCCCACATCCAGCATATATCGAAGAAAATTTCCATGTCAGTAGGCATCCTTTCCAAGATACGATATTATGTACCCCAAATTACACTCCTTACCCTATACCGCTCTTTAATATATCCCTACCTGACCTATGGTATTTGTGCAGGGATACAACTGTTGGGAGGGTTCTGTGGAGATATGATGGTTGGAGATGAACACACTTGTTGGGTTGTATACACTTATATTAGCAGAGTTGTGAGGGGAGCCCAGCCTAGCCTGTCATAGCCTGTAGGTTTATCCATGAACTGAGAAAGGGACAGGGTGACTCCTGCCCACAAGCAGCACTGTGTGACATCACATGTTAGCTGCTAAGTCAACCATAGCTAACCACCTTAAACAAAAAGCTGCTGTGCAATGATTACCAGCTCCTGTGCCAGACAGCACACCCCACCACTTTTCAAAAGCCTGAACCTACTAAATATATGAGACATACACTCATATTATTGTAACTACTATATATACAGAACATTAAACTCCAATATAAACCCTCTAGAGGCCTTAAACTTCTCCTTGATAGCTACAACAGAATGCACAGTCACAATACAAGGCATAAGGCACTCTTCGACATCCCTCATGTCAGTCCCACACTATGCAAAAATGCAATGCACTTTATATAAAGGGCCTGAAGATCTGGAATTCACTACCTGAACCAGTAAAGGATCCCCTGACTACATACAAATTTAGGGCTATGCTTAAAAATCATCTCATCTCTCGATACTAACCAAAACAACAACTAATCAGTTTGAAGCACTTCTCCCAAATATTATACAGTGGACCCTCACCCAACGAACGCATCGCATAACGTTAAATCCGCCTAGCGATACATTTTAAAGCAAAAATTTTGCCTCGGCTAGCACTAAAAAACTCGCTCAAAGCGATTTGTTCGAGACGCGTCCACGTGCGGCCTGAGCCTGCCTCACTTGTTCCGTGGGTGCCAGTGCTTACAAGCCAGCCACTGTGGTCGCATCCAAGCATACAATCAGAACATTTCATATTATCACAGCGTTTTTAGTGATTGCACCTGCAAAATAAGCCACCATGGGCCCCAAGAAAGCTTCTAGTGCCAACCCTACAGCAAAAGGGTGAGAATTACTATGGATATGAAGAAAGAGATCATTGCTAAGTATGAAAGTGGAGTGCGTGTCTCCGAGCTGGCCAGGTTGTACGCAAAACCCCAATCAACCATCGCTACTATTGTGGGAAGAAAACGGCAATCAAGGAAGCTGTTCTTGCCAAAGGTGCAACTTTGTTTTTGAAACAGAGATCGCAAGTGATAGAAGATGTTGAGAGACTGTTATTGGTGTGGATAAATGAAAAACAGATAGCAGGAGATAGCATCTCTCAAGCGATCATATGTGAAAAGGCTAGGAAGTTGCATGACGATTTAATTAGAAAAATGCCTGCAACTAGTGGTGATGTGAGTGAATTTAAGGCCAGCAAAGGTTGGTTTGAGAGATTTAAGAATCGTAGTGGCATACATGGTGAGGCTGCCAGTTCGGACCAAAAAGCAGCTGAAAAATATGTGAAGGAATTCAAGGAGTACATAGACAGTGAAGAATTGAAACCTGAACAAGTGTTTGTGATGAAACAGGCCTGCTTTGGAAGAAAATGCCAAGCAGGACCTACATTACTCAGAAGGGAAAGGCACTCCCAGGACATAAGCCTATGAAAGACAGGCTTACTCTGTTGATGTGTGCTAATGCTAGTGGTGATTGCAAAGTGAAGCCTTTATTGGTGTATCACTCTGAAACTCCCAGTGTTCAGGAAAAACAATGTCCTCAAGGCTAATTTGTGTGTGATGTGGAGGGCAAATAGTAAGGCATAGGTCACTAGAGACCTTTTCTATGACTGGTTACACCATGCATTTGCCCCCACTGTGAAAAATTACCTCCTGGAAAATAAATTGGACCTTACGTGCCTCCTGGTATTAGACAATGCTCCTGGTCATCCTTCAGATGTGGCAGAGTGACTTTCTGGGGACATGAGCTTCATTAAGGTCAAGTTTTTGCCTCCTAATACCACTCCTCTCCTGCAGCCCATGGACCAGCAGGTCATTGCAAACTTCAAAAAACTCTACACAAAAGCTGTTTGAAAGGTGCTTTGTAGTGACCTCAGAAACTCAAATGACACTAAGAGAGTTTTGGAGAGATCACTTTAGCATCCTCAATTGTGTAAACATTATAGGTAAGGCTTATGAGGAAGCGACTAAGAGGACCTTGAACTCTGCTTGGAAGAAACTGTGGCCAGAATGTGCAGACAAAAGGGATTTTGAAGGATTTGAGGCTAACCCTGAGAAGCCTATGCCAGTTTTGGAATCAATTGTGGCATTGGGGAAGTCCTTGGGGTTGGAAGTTAGTGGG